AAACAAACTAAACCTGGATCTGAGCACTATGTAAGTAAAAACAAACAAACTAAACCTGGATCTGAGCACTATGTAAGTAAAACAACAAACTAAACCTGGATCTGAACACTATGTAAGTAAAAACAAACAAACTAAACCTGGATTTGAACACTATGTAAGTAAAAACAACTAAACCTGGATCTGAGCACTATGTAAACCTGGATCTGAACACTATGTAAGTAAAAAATTCTCAGTTTCTTAATTTTATTTGAGAATGCTCTTTACATTAACAAAAATGTGTAAAATTTCAGTCACTTTAGTAAAACTATGTAACGTGTATGATAAAAGTATGTTCGAGCCTGAATGGTTATTCTGATGAAAGATGGAATTGTTATTGAATATCTGGAGATGTTTGATTCATTGTTCTAATTGTATGTTACTGACCAAGGTGCTTTATTTTTTTGTTGTGAGGTTTTGGTTACATATACATTTTTGTAAGATTTATTTGAAGAAAAAATATGACGATAAGGTGGCGAGGTTTAAAGCGAAACGTTTTAGGTTGTTAGGAAAAATTATTTAACTTAAATAGATTTAAGTGTAGAAGAAAAAATATAATATTTTTAGTAAAGATGTGTTGGTTAATTAACTTAATCACTAATTGTCACATCTCTGATGAAGAATACAATTAAATTTAAAAATACATAACAGAACAAGCAAAACGGAAGTTAAAATGGAACAAGTCAGGAGAAACTATCGACTCAGAAAAACGGAAATAATTAAAACAAAGAAATAAAAGATAAAGCTACAAATGTGTAAAGAAATATTGTGTCTCTGTATAAAATTTATTATTAGACAGGTAAGCAATTTATTGTTCATTTAAAAAAACAATCCCCCTCCCCCTGCAAAACTTCACAGAGTGTGCCATATTGGTTTTTCCCCTGTCTGTCCCAATTTTGTGGTCAGAATATCTCAAAACTGGAATGGTGAATTTTGACTAAACTTATACAACGGATTCTACATACAAAATTCTAGTCTACAGTATAGTTTAAATGTTGACCAGGTGTTGAATTGTAAGTATTTTGAAGTGTTGGTTTAAAAATTTTAAAATAAAAATCTCATTAGCACATTTTTTTGTTATTACTGCAGGTTATTGAATAGTGTGTTATTTAGCGATAAATAAACTAAGCAAATATTTGTATAACCTTATTGTTTGGAATGCTTGTAGAATAAGCTAATAAATATAATAGTCAACGCTTTATTAAAAAATTTAGCCATTTTAAGTTGCTTAAGAATTTTGTAGGTGTTTAATCTGATTACCAAATGTGCCTGTCCTGATGGATGTCCTCTAACGAGCCCCCATACTGATAGAGGTCTCTCAACAGGATCCGTTCTCATTCTAATGTAAGTACGTATGCAGCCATTAAGGTTTATTTACTTTTTCTCTTACATTGTCATCTTTTGTTGTTTGAAAACTGTATAAAGTATGTAAAAAGAAACAAATCAACAACATGGAAATTCTCAAATATGTAGAGAAAATTACAGGAGTAAAGAATCAATCCAGTGAACACTTTCCGTAAGATTTACGAATAATTACAGTTGTAGTTCAGTCCTAATGCACATTAAAACAATAGTAAAGTTTCTGACACCTGGAAACCCATAGCAAAAATAAAACTTCACAACACAGAATGCCAGTTAATGTTGACTCATGAAATCATCATAAAACTGGAATATAGTAGCATGTTACTTTTGACATGAGAGAACTAATCAACACATTTAATCGATAACCGTTTTTTCTGTGAAGTCACTAAAAAAAAAGGAATATCTGACTGGGTGTAACAAATTAGTCATGGCCAAACTCAAGTGAATATCTTGTATCAAGAAATATACTGATACACATGATGAGTTGCATTGGCCAGGATGTTTTGGAAGATATAGTGAAAACTGTAATGAACATTACAAGGACATTTAATTCCATTATACAGTAAGCTAAGACTTTACTGTGAAACTAATGTAGAACAGATTCAGGTTTATGTCCCTGTAGGTCAGTGGTCAGTTTCTGGACTTACAACTGTAGAATCTAAGATTCATTTCCTTATTGTGTAGTTTTGCGCTCAAAATAAATAGTTATGACCAAGTGACACCCTTTTTAAAATTGTCTAAATCATTGGGAAGGATAAGGTTTGAATTTAGTCGTTTTTAAAATGTAAAACAATCTGTGAATGTCTTGCTTTTCAAACTGGATTGATTTGATTGTGGTAACTTTCTGTAGAAAATTTTCCATACAATCTGAGAATCTTTAAAGACTCTTGTATCTTTTCCGTTAGAACAACGTTCACTGGCACTCCTTGTCTGTTTGATTAAAATAACTGGTCCTTGTAACTTTGTTATATCTTTGTTGTTTTTATGAAGTTAGGAGTGTGAATGTCAGAGAATAGTTAAAGAACACTACGTACTTGGTTAGAAACGTTAGACAGCAAATATTGGTAGTCGTACAATTTAATACCGGTTTCTTCTCATTATTTATTGTGATACGTAGTTAATTTTGTAACCAGTTTTTGTTTTATATTTCAGATTTTTCATATTCTTAACCATTTATGTAATTGGATAATGTACTACAGTTTTAGTTCTATTATAACTCTTACAGTGTACGAAATGTTTCAAATTCTTAATCTCTTGCAACCATATCATAAGTGTAATTACACCACCTCTTCGAAGAAATGGACAAGAGTAATGATTATTACTGCATGTAATTCTATTACTCTAAATAGCAGAATAAAGAAAAGAACAGAAGAGTCATCACCCGCGATTACAACACTTACTCTGACCAATAAAGGAAAGTCCATCCAGAAATCATAGTTAGGAACCATCTCTTTTCCAGTTGCTCCTCGAATTATCTTCAGAAAAGCCATACCACTTTGTGTTTATAAGAAACAATTGAAAGGGCCGAAACTTAAAACCTTTAAAGATCTTATTATTTTAACTCTGTTTTTCATTGACATTTTTAGGATGGTACTGTTTTCGTATTGAATGGATGTAAAGCTGAAGCCACCTACGAGAGAATCTGAAGTCAAGTTTTTGTAGAACCACAACAAAATCTCTCATCTTTCTAACAGCTTATTTTTGTAACCAGTGACTTTGTTTACTAAACGTAGTCTTGTCTTTAAAATTTTACAGTAGTATTTGTTTAATGGTATAATATTGTGCCTTAAATCACACATCAAAGTAACATTTACTTTATATTATTTCTAGCAAACTAACAAGCTTCAAATCTAGAAAACAGTCTTTTTTTTTTACTTCATATCTAAAATGGTTGTTACAATGTTTTCGTTTAGTTTTTCTCCATAATGATGTTTTATTTCATATTCTGAATTTGATTAATCCTATTTAGTTAGATTTTTAAAATGGATTTAATCGTCTTGGAATATTATGAGTGTTTTTCTACTGTAATTATACCTCTAAAAGGAACCATGGAAGGTTAAAGTTACTGTATATAAATACATGCTATAAAGTTCATGTGCCTTAAAGTAATATAACTCGAAGAATAAAATAGTTTATAGAATTAAGGTGTTTGATGAATTCAGTTATTGTTTTAATGAGTCATTGTCTGTTACCTTCCCTTTGTTTTAGCCACATAAACTCGTTCATAAAGTTGCTGTAGGGTTATGTCTTATGCATATGTCCAAAACACAGTGAAAGAAACTATAAAATTAACTATAAACTAGAGGATCACAGAGACAAATAATCCATAAGCTCTTTGATACACATAGTAATGAACAAACATGTGTGAGGATGATTCACGGAGCAAAAAACAGCATATTAAAGATTCACGGAGCAAGGAACAGTGTAATAGAGATTCACTTAAGTGGGATATTAGTTTCAAGATTATAAGAAACAGTGCACTAGAGATTAGTCCTAGGACTGTTAAGAGAAACAGTGCACTAGAGATTAGTCCTAGGATATGTTATAAGAAATTGTGAGGTGTATTTCACAGTTAATGGTTAAGTGACCAAATACAAAAAACAAGACAAAAACCTGTTCATAAGCTCTGTTCTCCCTTTAGTTTCATTGTTATTGAAATAGGAATCATTCAGTAGAGTGAAGACTAAACAAACCCACACTAATTTGATATATTAAAAGGTAATTTTTCATTGTTTGCTACATTGTTATGTTTAGAATTTTCTTTGTTTAAAATAATGCCTTTTGAACTTCTTTCTTCAGTTGATAGCCTCATATTCTCAGTTAATATAATGTTTCTGCATTTATAAGCTTATGTTTTCTTAGCTAAAACTTTTTATAAGCATACTTTCTTTCTTTCTCGGTTAATTTTGTTTTGCGTGTTCTTCAAATCTGACGCACGGTCTTGTTCTTAAACCTTTTTAGTTAAAGCAGTACTTTTTTCATCCTTAAATGTACAAAATATTTTTGTCTGCATTATTCCCAGTCATAACTGTATTTTGTTTGAAACCACTCAAAAGGGGTTTTCTTTGATTACTTTCGGTAGAAGCATTTACAAATGTTTAGTAACCATTGTCTTGTTTGAAACCACTCGAAAGGGGTTTTCTTTGTTCTTTATATTCAGTACAAGCATTTACAGGCCTTTAGTCCCTTTTTTATCGTATTTTGCAGCAACTGCCACAAAGTGGTTTATATGTTACTATTATCTTAGAATACGTACTTTAGGATTCATCCATCAAGGCTTACAGTATCAGGTTGTCTTTTATTTATTCTTTTGCCTATTTTGGGGTTTTATGTGCGACTATGATTACCTAAACTAATGAAACTTAGACTCACTAAATATGAAATCTCTCTATAAAAAGCAAAATGTTTTGTATTACCAGAAACAGTAAATGAAAAATATAACTCAATGAGGTTAGGTTTGCCTGGAATTATCTTTCTGATTTTATATTGTAAAACTAATTCTGACAGGTAACTGGGAGAATGTAAAACTACACTTCCTATGTCTAGTAACAAAATATATTGATGAAAGTTTCTTTATATTGAAAATACAATGGATAGTATATTTTTTGTTAAACATTTTAGAAAAGTTGATTTTTTTAAGTGTAAAAAAATTAACAATTATATACTTAAATGCATTTATTAATTTTTTTCAAAATGGCTGTTCATCCTTAACTATACTGTATGATTATTAGTCTTCCTTTAGTTAATGAGAAAATAAAAACCTATGGTTTCATACAATTAAACAGGTTTGGTTATGCAGTACTATGATTGTAGGAGGCAATATTCAGAAACAAATAAAAAATATTTTTAAACTGACCTTGCTTTGGAAGGTATTGTTTTATCTATGCCAATATAGCAGTTAGTACTGGTGTGTCAATTTATACAGTCCCTCCTTGAGGTCCTCAGTACAAAAAAGTTTTAAATCTAAATTTATATACTTATTTTCAATAAAATCCTTTCACATCCATGCCAGTTTTTTTTTTTTTGTAAATCTATTGACTGAGTCCTGGGAGCCCTCAATATCTTTGTTCTACAAGTAGAAGTTGCAATTTGAAAAATTACAATCTTCCAGTAGATTGGTTCAGTTAAACCTGTTGATCCCCCCCCTTTTCATTTATATTCTGTGGGGTTAAAAGCCTACATACAAAATTGTGAGGAGTTTGTGTTCTTCAACTTGACAACAGGGTCTTGTTCTTAAACCTTTTATGTTGAGGTTTAAATGAGACTAGTTTTAATATGTATTAAAACTGTTTTAACTAAAAGATGTATTTTGTGACATTAACAGTAGCAATAAGTTCTTATTAAGTTTTTAATTTCTATTCCATTTTTCACATATTCACTGTGTTCATTCACAAGTATTGAACAAGTGGATTTATTTCAACAAAATTATTAATAAAACAATTTCTATTTCTCTAGCAAGACAACTGTAGTCACTCAGCTTGTTGAGCTTCAGTAATTATGAAATAAAGAAAACAATCGTTAGCTTAATGGTGCCATTGATTAAACAGAGGTAGAGAAGCATGGTTTTAATTGTTAAGTTTGGTGCCATTGATTAAACAGAGGTAGAGAAGCATGGTTTTACTTGTTAAGTTTGGTGCCATTGATTAAATAGAGGTAGAGAAGCATGGTTTTACTTGTTAAGTTTGGTGCCATTGATTAAACACAGGTAGAGAAGCATGGTTTTACTTGTTAAGTTTGGTGCCATTGATTAAACACAGGTAGAGAAGCATGGTTTTACTTGTTAAGTTTGAAATGATGCTATAAAACATTGCTTCATAAGGTAATTTTTCACTGGCACATTTAAAGCTAGGTGGAAATATTATAGCATGATGTTATCATATGGTTTGTTTTAAAACAAATTACAAATTCTGTATCCCATGGTTAGTTTGAAACTAGATTCAAATGCACAAGCATGTTCACAAGGCTACGTAGATTACTACTCAGAGTTATTTAGTGTTGACACAAGAAGTGTGGGACTACATCAGTACAGTTATTTAGTGTTGACACAAGAAGTGTGGGGCTACATCTGTATAGTTACTTAGTGTTGACACAAGAAGTGTGGGACTACATCCATACAGTTATTTAGTGTTGACAAGAAGTGTGGGGCTTCATCCATACAATTACTTAGTGTTGACAAGAAGTGTGGGATTACATCCGTACAGTTATTTAGTGTTGACACAAGAAGTGTGGGACTACATCAGTACGGTTACTTAGTGTTGACACAAGAAGTGTGGGACTACATCAGTACGGTTACTTAGTGTTGACACAAGAAGTGTGGGACTACATCAGTACAGTTACTTAGTGTTGACACAAGAAGTGTGGGACTACATCAGTACAGTTACTTAGTGTTGACACAAGAAGTGTGGGACTACATCAGTACAGTTACTTAGTGTTGACACAAGAAGTGTGGGACTACATCTGTATAGTTACTTAGTGTTGACACAAGAAGTGTGGGACTACATCCATACAGTTATTTAGTGTTGACAAGAAGTGTGGGGCTTCATCCATACAATTACTTAGTGTTGACAAGAAGTGTGGGATTACATCAGTACAGTTACTTAGTGTTGACACAAGAAGTGTGGGACTATATCTGTACTGTTACTTAGTGTTGACACAAGAAGTGTGGGACTAAATCTGTACTGTTACTTAGTGTTGACACAAGAAGTGTGGGACTACATCCGTACGGTTACTTAGTGTTGACACAAGAAGTGTGGGACTACATCTGTACAGTTATTTAGTGTGGGACTACATCCAAATGGTTTCTTAGTGTTGACAAGAAGTGTGGGACTATTACTGTGGAACTACTTTGTCTTTACTTTGAGATTTATTGATCATTCGTTTTTGTAGAAAATGTAAAGAGAATGATTTAACATGTTTTTTTCATTGTTTAGAGCACAATAATGTTGTCATGTGATGAAATTTCTGTTAATAAGGTGTACAGAATGGAAATTGTGAAATTCTTAAACAGTTTTGCATAAAAATATTTTTGTTTATATTTGAAAAAGGCTGTATTACTCTGCGTCCTTCATAAAGATTCTAAGCACAACACATTGTGTATGAAATAAATACTACAAAGTTTAAGTTTGTTTTTTTATTCCCCAAATTATACAGTGCTAAGATAAAACTTACGAACTAATTTTTTTTATCCTTTTGAATTTTATTCTAGCATAGCCATTGAGACTACAGTCTTCTGTCCAAATTTGCTTAATTTATGAAACTAAAGGTGTAAGTTGTAAAGTAAGTAGGTTTGTTTAAAACAGGTGAAATGCACACCATAACACTACACAGTGTTTTATTCAGTATTGTCACATTGTTGCAGCCATATTTCTTAATTGTTATTCTTCCCTAGTTTATCATGGCTTAATTGTTGTATTTCATGTTAGCGATTTATTGAGATTTATACCTTATTTTTTTGTAAACAAGTTTTGTTGCTTTCTTGGAATTTTTATTATTGTAACCACCACAGAAATGAGACTAAGAAATACTACTAACCACACATTAACAAAATGGAGGTTTCAATGAAATAGTTATTTAGCATTAACAAGACTGCTATCGGTGATACCAGATATTCTTAATTTTGTAATGGCTAAAGAAACAATAGTATATATAAAAAAAAAATCATTTGTTAGACATTTCTCTTAAACATAATGGAACATGTATAAAGCTAATCGATAATCAGGTTTTAGAGTCACAAACAGTGTTCCATAACTGTAATCAATTCAATGAATCTTCAGTAAAAAAAAAATATCTATAAACATGTAACATTTCATGTAAAAATTGAGCGATTTCTGAAAATACCCGACTAGACCTAAAATCAAATATCAACCAATGAGGAATAACAATTGGACAAAATAAAGCCTCATGTATAAGTATTTCAAGTTGTTCCACTATGATTACTCACAAATAACTCTTATTGTCTATAGTTATGCAAGAAAGATTAACATTATACAGACTTGTAACTACAAAACAAAACTTTCAAATTACAGATTTATATAACAAAATTAGCTAAATAATCACAAGATTTGTTGATGGACATAACTGGTGTTATTCAAACAGTATAAAAACTTTTAGGGAAATATACATACCCTGAAGTGTGAGGAGTGCCTAAAAAGAAAAAGGCCTTTAAGGCTGTATAGACCCTGAAGTTTATTCTGGCAGATACCTACGGTTCCAAAGAGAACCCTGATTAATAAAATATTTCATATTTAATGAACCATCCAGTGAAGATAAAAGGAGAACTGGACTCGTCTATCTACAGAAAAAAATATATGAAATTTTCTACAATAGTCCTCAAAAGTTTAATATTTGTTCACCATTTTTCATAATTTATGGAACAGTGTATATTCTACTTTCTACATATTGAGAGAAAATATTAAACTAATACTTATGTGAAGAGTAACTTTCTCTTCCTATCAGTCTAATTAGTCTTAGCGAATACAAAATTATTTAGAACTTTATGAATCGTGTGCTTTTATATATATATATATATATTTAAATGATGTTGACAATCAAAAGAAGATTATTGTTATTGATTTACAAACCACTAAAAATGAGGTTTTTGTTATAATGTAGCGATTGTGGTTGAGAAGAGTAACTTGCTAGGACTAAATTAATGATATGTGAATAGCTCACATTTTTATGGAAAACTACAGATCACAAAAATATCCCAGAGAATACAGTGTCAAATAAAAATACCTTCTACAGTCACAGTTTCGATCTATACTTTACTGTACAGGATGTGCTGTTAAACACACTGTCTTTTTATAATATCTCCATCTCTCTCATAAGAGCACTTGTTTGTCATCAGACTGCGAGATCTCAATCAAATTGATTTCAAATAGTAAAGTCTACAAAGGCAGCGTGTATGTACTAAGGTGCATTGCAAACAAAATACACACACACAAAGAAGTGACTTGTCTGTGAACATTAAATCCTTCATAACTGGCACGTTATTCTGTTTAACATCACTGCAGGTGCAACAGATTTTATTCATATAACATTAATTTTAGTCTATTTAAAATTAAAGAACGTGCAATAGATTTTTTTTTACACATTCTTATTTGATAATTTGAAGGATTTGTGTCTCCCAGGTGGAATAGCAGTAAGTTTACAGACTTATAATGCTAAAATCTGGGGTTTGATTCCCTACGGTGGACACAGCAATAGCCTAATGTGGCTTTGCTTAAAAAACAAACAAACAATATGGATTCAAATAGAATTATTACACTAAAAAAAAAATTACTTATCACAGTCTGTAGGGATCATAGAGAAAATAAGTTCAAAGATGTTATTGTTAAGACAGGTTGTTGTAGATGCACAGAAATGTTAAAAAAATGTTGAACTTTGTTGAAATGCATGTCTGACTTTCATAGGAAGTTAACTGATTCATTATTGAAATATCATTCTAGTTTATCACAGGCATTATCAACAAAAATGTTGCCAAATCTACAGTAACTGTCAGGTAAATTAAACTTTTTCTCAGTAATTCACTGTTTAAAATCTGTTTGAAAAGAAAGTACAAGAACAATAAAAACATTATTTAAAAGTAGAAAACAGGTGTGCTCAGCATTTCATAATAAAAGTTTTAAAAGGCACAAGTGCAAGGGCTTATATCATTACTTATGAGGACCTAATTTTGGGACCCATTAAATGATATTATTTACACAACAAACATTTATGTTGCACGTCTTGATTTCCGAGCCTTTGGTATATAAATGGCTGCCTTATTTCATTAGCAGTTTGAAAAATGTAGGAACTCCTAACTGTTGGACAGAGAAATAAAAACCACATTTGTATACCAGAATTGAACCCAGTTTGACAGAAGTCCACAGCACAGAATCACAAGAAATAAGTTACATGTACCAAAAATGTTTTCTTACCTCTACAGAATCCTTTAATTAGAGTTGTAACCTAAATGCGTGTGCCTATATACATGAAAATTAGTTTCTTCGTATTTATTTAAGAATGTACTTGACCTTCTGAAACTACTTAGCTATATATATTTTTTCAAGTATGAATATCAAACTGGTAAAAGAAACCCATACCTAATATATCGTGAACTGATAAGTGGGTATGATGGGAGTTACATCACTGAGAAGATAACGTGCCTCTAAATGGTTAGGTAAGAAAAAATAAATACACAACAGCAAATATATTGTATAGAATTATTTATATATTGGAGGACTTTGAGTCTTGAGTTGGATGACAGCTGAAAGATCTTGGAGGTATGGAATCCACTTTCAGTAGCGAGCGAGGATAGAGAGTTGCTCATATCATCTTTAGTATCTTCCTGTTTGCTAGCTTGGAAGTCTATGGGCATTGCAAGATACAAAATTGACTTATTGTGCTAAGTACAACAAACAACATTGATTAGATACTTACAATGTAAGTTTAGACTCAGTTTTACTTAGAAGTCCAGATTTTGATCTTAGACATTACTGTTTCACGTGCATGTACAAAAGGTATGTGTGAAGATTTGACTATGCAGATCCTTATCGTTCTTGAATTATGATTCAAGCTAAAGGACAAATAAATATATAAATCACTAAATAAATGCTTCTTCCAATCTAAATCCTTTTGCTACTCCTTTAACCTTGCAGAAAGCTTAATAAATAATCTTCATAAAAATACATTAATGTTCATTAGCATCAAATGACATATCCAACAAGGATTATTTTCTTAATAGATTAATACTTTATATCAGAACTAGCTGCATGGAATGAGGAATTACGAGATAGAAATTTTCATGTTCACAAGTGCTGTAGTTTAAGGAAGCATCATATTGTAAGCCAGATATTATCAAGATTACATCCTTAAAGATATTTAACCGCAACAACATTTGTTCATGTCATGAAATCCAAGTAAGATAGATAATGTGAATCATTGTGAGTTCCTCAATTGGTGATGAAGTAGTTTGTTGATGTTGTGACATCCTAGTAAGATAGATAACCTGAACCATGGGTACCCTCAGAAAGGGGCAAGTTGGGTCATTTGACCCGCTCTGGATTTTCAAAAACAAAAAATGTTACTAGATACGTAAAATTATTCTCCTATGTTATTGGAAAATCATAAGGTATTTGTATTTCGATTTCATAATTTGTTTGAAAGTTGAGTTGCTTTTTCTGTGGGTGCCCTTGACCTGAACCAATGTGAGTTCATCAGTAGTGATGAAGAATTTAGTTTGTTGATGCTGCTTGAGAAACTCACGTAGTCAAGGAGTGGATTCACTTGCAAAGTTTACTCTATCACTGTTCCAGCCATTGTAGTTTACTGTATCACAATTCCAGTTATTGTACTTTACTCTATCACAGTTCCAGTTATTGTAGTTTACTGTATTACAGTTCCAGTTATTGTAGTTTACTCTATCACAGTTCCAGCCATTGTAGTTTACTCTATCACAGTTCCAGCCATTGTAGTTTATCATAGTTCCAGTTATTGTAGTTTACTGTATCACAGTTCCAACCATTGTAGTTTACTGTATCACAGTTCCAGCTATTGTAGTTTACTGTATCACAGTTCCAGTTATTGTAGTTTACTGTATCACAGTTCCAGTTATTTTAGTTTACTCTATCACAGTTCCAGCCATTGTAGTTTACTGTATCACAGTTCCAGCTATTGTAGTTTACTCTATCACAGTTCCAGTTATTGTAGTTTACTGTATCACAGTTCCAGTTATTGTAGTTTACTGTATCACTGTTCCAGTTATTGTAGTTTACTCTATCACAGTTCCAGTTATTGTAGTTTACTCTATCACAGTTCCAGTTATT